TGAGGACTGCAGACGCAGGAGCCATCAGGAAAGACTTTGCAAGAAGAACATTTGTCAGGTAATCCTGAAGAGGGGTTGGCATTTCCTTGGAAAAAGAAGTAGAATTATAAAGGCAGGGAGGCAGGGGGAGGTTGGCCTTGGTAGGGGATTCTGAGTAGTTCTGTTTTGTGCTCTCCACTCCATCAGGTGCCCTTCATTCCAGCCAGGCTGGCCTGCTTATTTGGTCCCACATTCAGGCTTTGTTCACGTTGCTCCCTCCATCCAGAACGCCAATCCACCCCCTACTTTCCCAAATGCTCAAGTCCCCCTCATCCCTGTGGCCCACCGTGAATACCAAGACCTCCGTGGGTTCTTGAATGTCTTCTTCCTTCTCCTCCACTTGGGAGTAACTTGCCCCCTTGGATTTCTCATAACATTGCATTTGCATCTCTCCTGCAGCATTGCTGTTGAAGCCTCATAGTTACTCGAGGAAAGATCCCTGAGGCCAAGGGCCATGTTTCTCTTAGGACCCATCTATACCTGGGACAAAGCTTTGGACTTAGCAGGTCTTGGCTAATTCGATGGTTCTCAAAGCACAGCCCCAGGACCAGCAGCATCAGCAGGTCTGAGGACTTGTAAGAAATGCAAATTCTCTGGCCCTCCCACACACCTGCTAATCCAGAGCCCGTGGAGGTGAGGCCAGCAATCTGTTATAACAAGCCCCCAGAGGATGCTGAGGCTAATGCTGGGTTAGCTGAAGGTCTCTTTCTTTCCTGGAATAGAAATTTGCTGTTATAAGTACTTCTTTTGACTTTATCTGAGAACAGAGTTTTAAACAAGGTTTATTATTTGAAAACTTCATTTTGTTCCTTGATACTCACCTGAGGATACGTGTATTGACTTTAGGGAGAGAGGAAGGGAGAGAGAAACATCAGTGTGAGAGAGAAACACTGACTTGTTGCCTCCTATACGCATTCTGACTGGGGCTCCAACCCGAAACCTAGGTATGTGTCCCGACCTGGAATCAAACCTATAAACTTTTGGTGTGTGGATGGCACTCCAACCAAATGAGCCACCTGGCCAGGGCTCATTTTTATGTCTTCCTATTTCTTGTCATATCATTTGGGTAAGAAATCCCTTATTAACAAAGGAAATCTAAGTACTAGAGACATGGTATCACTGCGTCTAAGGGACTCCAGTGTCCCTGGCTCAAGCAGCATCCAAGAATTAGACACTGAATGACTACGATTTAAAATAACTTGATAACTGAATTTCCTAGTCTCCTTTTTTTTCTCACTTTCTCCTGTGCTTTTCTTCCTTCCCTTTCCATTCTCACATTTTATTTTCATATTTACAACTGTCCTAAGTTAGAGTTCTCCGAGAGTATGTACTTTGGAGGAACGATGCTACAAAAGCCTCAGAAATCTGCAATAACAATCAAAGATGCCCAGGAAGGTTAGAATGAGTGGGGACACGGTCCATTTCGCTCACATTCTTTTGGCAACCCATTACTTCAGAGACGGGATTTGAATCAATGTGGAAAGACATCTTTCCTTGGACTGTAATTTACTTCAAGCCGTCCCAGGCATTTGGGCATTTCGGCAGGTGGCAGCTTCCCGTGGCGTGGAGAGCTGCTCTGAATGTCTGCCAGGACCTGTGAGCTTCTGTGTCACCTCAGCCCCAGGTGATGATCAGAAGGCTGTGGGCTTCGCTGAGGTAGCACCACTGCTCAGCAAAGAGGCGCCAAACCAGCAGTCGTCCTGTTCTCGGCTTAACACCCCAGCACTTTCTCATCAGCCCCAATACTTCCTATTCGCATGTGAGGACCGGTATGGTGTGTGTGTGTGTGTGTGTGTGTAGTACTCATGGATGGAAATATATATATATTTCATATATATTTCACACATATATATACACATACACACACACACATACATACATACATACACACATGTGCATGTGAAAAGGAGACTGAGTGAAGAGAATTTCAGTAGCACAAAAGGTTTCTCATTCACTGTGATGACTACACAGATACAAGGGTCAGTCCTTTTTTCATATTACAGTTGGCATCCAATATTATTCTGTATTAGTTTCAGATGTATAGCAAAGTGGTTACACAATCATGTAGTTTGCAGAGTGGTCCCCACACACCTGGCCCCATGCGTATTTATCACGATATTGACTCTTTTCCCTGTGCTGTCTCTGTCTCTGGAACTGCTCTAACTACCCATTTGTCCTACTTAATCCCTTTACCCAGGCCCACAACGCCCTCTCCTCTGACAGCTGTCAGCCTTGATACAAATCTCTTAATATCTGTGTATAATAAAAAAGAGAATGGGAGCAATATACCACCACAGCACCCCCACACCACAGCACCCCCACACCACAGCACCCCCGTACCACAGCACCCACATGCACACTTTCTTTGTAAACACAACATTGTAGTAGACATTTCTTCATGCAGTGAGAACCATATCCACCAGAATTGCATTCTATAATATATAAATACCAGTCACTCCCCAAATCTCCTAAATCTTTAGAGAAAGGGAAGGATATATGGGGATTCGGGAAATAGATCTTCCAAGTCTTAAAGAAATATAAATACAAAGATTTTCTTTTCTATAAATATCTTCATAGTTTTGGTGATTCTGTTCCAAGGAAGCATTGAATTCCAGATGAACTTGAGTTTCAGGTAGTGCAGTCAGTATCCAGAGAGACATTGAAAGGTAAAATTCTTTACCCTTGAGAGTCTGCTGTATCTTTGCCATATCCAATTAAGTTAAGTTTATTGTTCATTGGTGGATAAAGAAGTAAGATTCCAAAAAATGGTGAGAAAGTGAGTTATCTTTTTGTTCCAAATATATCATGATTCATCTCTGAGGTATTATCCTGAGAAATCTGGCTCATATATGCTATCTGACATTGCTTTCAATGTCTTAACTATTTAGGGCAAGTTCATTTATTTATCTTTTACTTTTTTATTGAATTTATTGAGGTAACATTGGTTAATAAAATTATATAGGTTTTAAACTAGTTTCGAATTGATTTTAGAGAGCATAGGGAAAAAGAAAGACAGAGAAACCTTGATGTAAGAGAGAAACATCAATTGGTTGCCTCCCACACGCTCCCCAACCAGGGATTGAACCCACAACCTGAGTACGTGCCCTGACCAGGAATGGAACCCACAACCTTTTAGTGTACAGAATGATACTCTAACCAACTGAGCCACACTGGCCAGGGGGAAATTTATATAGGTTTTACATGTATGATTATACAATACATCATCTGTATCTTATGTGTTCACCACCCCAAGCCAAGTCTCCCTCTATCACCCTGTATCCCCCCTTTACTCTCTTCTACCTCCCTAGGGGCAGGTTTAATTATAAAAGAGAGATGTCCTATTTTTAGCTCTCAAAATGTTGACATCCAGATTATAGTGAATTATTTTTCCCTATGAAAAGGACAAAGAGAGTCCAGTTTGCTCCGTGTCAGCAGAGCGTTAGTTTTAAGAGAGGCGTGTACTCTGTGGAGACTGGGAGAGTGGACTGTGTTTGATTAATTTGATGTGCCCAGTTGGGGCGCCTGTCTTCTTTCCTGGCTCCAACTTGCTACTCAGTTTCATCTAAATGTGTAACATAGTATATACCATTCCAAGGAAGGCTGTCAATTTGGTGGGTGATGCTAATTTACTTACAAGTGTGACACAGGAGAACCTCTGGGGAAGGGGGAAAGGTCTGGGCATTTGGACGACACAGTTTGCTAAGAGCACCAGAAAGCCAGGACCCTCTTTTGTTCTTGACTGTTTCCTGAGTGTCTAGGATCAGTAGTCAACAAAAACCAACCTGCATCTACAAACCAGTTTTATTGAGCTGGGGCACATCACTCCTGATTCTGGGTTCTTTCCCAGGTCCCGCCTGGTCCAGGTGAGGATGGGGACAGGAGGGAGTCCCTGCGCTCTGCTCTGGAAGGGCAGTGCAGGCCTGGCAGATTTTAGGTCTATAGCAGTTGCCAAAACCAACCAGCCAGAGGGTTGCCCTTAGCTCCCGTCTGATCATGTTCTGGCACCGTCCCAGTTGGCAATGAAAAGCTTATTTGTTTGTGGTCCTTCTTGAGCCTGTGGGACCCACATTGGCTAGTTCTGCTCAACAGGATATTTCTACCCACCTTCTCTTTGGACTGCACTTCTTCCTAGAAACCCAGCCCACTGAACTAGATTTGTTTTACAGGCTTATGTCTTCCTCTACTTATCATCATGCTAAAAATTACAAACGAAACTTTATGAATTCCACATCTGGCCATCTTCTCTTGCCTTTGTCGCCAGTCTCTGTAGAAAGGAGGGAGAGGCTGAAGGAGGAGCAGCTGCACTCCTCCCGAAGCACGAAGCCGGTGAACGGAGGCAAGGCAGTGGCCGGCGAGAAGGGCAACAGGTCATAGCTGCTCTGTTGACTGAGAGCTGCCTCTCTCCTACGCACCAACGGCATCCACCCAAGCTGAATGCTTTTCATAGAGCACTTCACTTAATCCTCATCTAAGTTCAACCCTATTTTACAGATGGGGAAGCTGAGTTGAAGTTGCATGTTCAAAGTCACAGAGCTAGGAAACAGAGGCAAGTTTAGATAAGAAGCCAACCTGCCCCGAAGTGTGGGCTCTTGACGAGAAGTGGTACTTCTCCCCGCTCAAAGACGGCCTCAAAGCAGTTTACATTTCGTGCTGTGCGGTGGTTCTTGGCTGTGGGCTGTCCGTCCCTCCCCCGGGGAGTCTGTGGCCATATCTGGGGATATCTGTCATTGTCACAGCTGGTCGGGACGTTGCGACAGGCATGTAGTGAGTAGAGGACAAGGCCACGGCTGAGCACACCACAATGCCCAGGACATCTGCCAACAACAAAGAATCATCTGGTCCAGAATGCCAATAGATAAGGTTAAGAAACCTTGGTCCCAAGGATGGGGGATTATTAAAGCCAGTTCATAAAAAGAAGGTTTTGTCTGTACCTCACTCATATGCACTTTGTCCCATTACAGATGACAGCAGCCTTCTAAATCTAACTTCCTACCCCCTGGTCAGAAGACGGAAGAGAAGGTTTTTTGGGCTATGTTGTCTCGTCTCAAGCTAGACCATTCCTCCTGGAAACCCGCCCCAGGGGAGACTTGGAAAAACCCCAGAAGCCGAGGACCTCCAGACAGCTGAACCACAGTTACTGGGTTTTGACTATGTTTTCTATGCTTCCTTGTTACTTTTATCTGCCTCTCTCTGCCCTTTTAAATGATTTTACATTTGAAAGTAGCTGCTGTCAAGGGGGGGGGGGGGTAAAAAAGCAGGCTGTTTTTAAAAGGATTTTTAAAGTTGACATTGTGCATGTCTGCATACCATGACAGATGCAAGAATTATGATTTTTAGATTATTTAAAAGTTTTTTAAAATGTATTATACAGAGAAAAATTATTTCATGTATAATAGTAAATCTATAGCTCTTACTGATCTCATGTTAGCAATCCATCATATATGGAAGAAGTCTTTAAACATAGAAATCTATTTAAAACTGCAAAACTGTGTTAAAATCCAATCAATATCATTAGAAATATTATAAGCAAACACACCACCTCACCTATTGCTTTCTCTGCTTTCATTTACATTTAGTCTTCCATTCTGTCAGAATCTAAGAGCTTCAACAGAAAAATATCTTAATTTATAATGCAACAAAAACCATATATGAAAAGTATTTAAATTTTGTAAATACACAATAATCCTAATACCTTCGTACAATGCATATGGGCGACTAATTTCCTTTCGATCCAATGGTGTCTTTTCAGCTTCTTGGAGAATGAAGTTACCCAGTTAGGAAATGGTGTAGTAACACATATACGAGTACCCTCAAATGTACAATTTTAATATTATCACATTTTGTTCTAATTGAAATCTGACGCATGACTCCACACATCAGCACAGTGTTAACTCTTTTAGGGCATGCTGGAATTAGCTCCGATCGTAAAAATATTTAACATTTTACATGGTTAATAAAATCTTTTTAGTTCAGCTAAGCTTGTCTCATGTTAGATGACTATGCAGATATGACTTTTCAATGTGTACTTGGTGTCTTATCTTACCCAGATTCTTGGAAGCAGGACACATGAAGCAATACTATATTTTAGGAAGGAGGAAGCCACGTGCTACGTTTTCCTGCTCATAGCTTAGTTGTGATCTCCCTCACTCAACTTGCAACATGGTACAAATTTTGTTACATTCCCCCCTGTTCTTCCTTTGGCCCATTTCCCAGACAGAATTTCCCATGGGTCAACAGATCAAGTCTTTGGATATCTTTTCTTCTTTCCATAGTCTGAAAAAACCTGAAGTCAGACAAGAGGCACCCGTGTCTAGTGTAATAAAAGGATGAGCTAGACCCTACAAGTGGTTTATACAAAGCGCATCTTTAATCCCAACCCTGTAATTTCTTCCTATTTATGTGCATAGGCATTTCCATGTCCACCAATATTTTGACCTGAAAACTACGGATATGAAAGCCTTTAGCTTTAGTGAAGATGAAGACAGGTACAGACAAATGACTAGAATAATTATTGTATTAGGTTGAGTTATGTGAAATTGCTGATATTTGACTGTTTTGACCTAAGAAATGACAATTTCATATAGTTCAACATAATATCTAGTGTTGTGGAAATTATCTCTGGAATTGTCTTCTAGCTTTTTTTACTGAAAGTGGAAAGATTAAAGGGTTGGGAGAGATCTCAAAGGCTATGCAGCTCTCTGTTTTGATCATACCAGCTGGTTGTTGGTCTTACTCTTAGAGTCCAAAGTTGTGTTCCAATGAACGGGTACTGGATGCATGATTATAGGTATGTTTGGCTGTATATAAAGAAGGACCCTGGAAAATTACATGAGAAAATCACAATTTTCTAAATCACATACTTGTAAACAGTTGAGAATATGCCATTTAAAAGACTCCTCCGGTGAGCACAACCCTGCAAAGCAAACAACCATTCCCAGATTTATCTGGTCTGCAAACCCTGATTTTCATAAATCAGGTTTGATGAAAGCTCATCATCCTTTTCTGAATGCAGTCTATTTTTATCCCCTGGGGCTCATTAACTTCAGGTCCATTGTTGCAGAGATTGTGAAGTAGCCCGATCTGGCACGCTCACTGCCGTCTGTCCTCCCCCACCTTTCTACTGTGCTAAACCCTTCGCTTCATTCTAGTTCCTATAATCCATGCAAAATTAGTAACTGATAAGTCCTACCCTGGTGATCAGCACGTTCTTCTAAATGCCTGGCCTGAGTCCCTCCTGCTTGGTTAAGCTGTGCTCACTTTAGCCTTAGTCTCAGCATAAAGGTAACGCTTACCTTCTGTGCAATTGTCTTTTGTACAACTGAAGACTGTTAATAAATTCAGGTCTCGCCTCCATGTTTGGGAGGCCCATCGTAGCATTTCGTGGAGAAGGGAATTTGTCTAATTCCCTAGCGAGGCTTTCCATACCTAAGGTAAATAAATTCAGCCACTTTATCTTCTCGTCATAGTGCCTGTTTCCCAGCCTTCGATGAGTTTTGTAGTTCCCTTAGACACACTCCAAGATTTAGAGATCTCTCTTCAGTGGCAGGTCCGAAAATTACATTTAGTCCTCAGAGTCCTGATAACCTACACTGGCTCATAGCTGCAACAGGTGATTCACTGTCTCCCATTAGGTATGCCAATGCAACTCTTTAGGAATTGACCCCCTCTCCTCTCCCTACCAAAGGACTTTCTCAGGTGTAGTTCCACGGGACAGAGTTCTGTCTCGGCTTCCTGCTGGCAATCTGCTTTCAGATTAGCAATAACACTGAGCTGATCTCCAGGGATGAGGAGAAAACACGGAATCCATTTTGTTGCATGTGCTCACATGCTTGAAAAAGAAAAGGATGGGAACTTTTTCTGGCACACAAACATCCATTGTACCAACATATTTTAATACCCTATGTTGCTTTTTTTTTTTTAAGATTACAGAGGCAATACATGTTCTTTATAGGAAATCTGAAAAATACCACTAAGTATAAAGAAAGTAAAAATCACCTGAATCCCACCACAATCCCATCATTTAAATCCATATTTCCAGGCTGGACATCAGGGGTGGAGCCAAAAAGTACTTTTGGATAAGCTTTGTAAAGAAATGCCCATCAGGCCAAGGTGTCACTTGAAAATATCGGCCCACTCATGTTTTGTAGACATCTAGAACAGGTTCGGGGCACACTACTGGTTGTGCCATTGTTCTAGAGGACAAAGGAGACTAGAAGTAGCACAGCCCTGGTGCCCCCTTTAAGCAAAGCTCTTGGGGAAATTCTAAAATCCTGCCAGATCATTTTGCTCCTTGGTGCTCCCTGTAACATTAGGATACTTACTGTTTGGCAATACTGCCACCTACCGAAAGCTGAGCTCTGGAGTGAGGGGGAAAACAAATACCAAGTATAAAAGCATCTAGTTTATTTTAGACAGCAAACGGATGGGCCAGATTAACAGTGATCCCATATGGATTTCAGACTCTGGAAGTCTCAAAGTTGAAAGGATTCGGGATATCATCCAGACTAACCCCCTACACACACACACACCTAAGCAATGTCTATCACGTTTTTGTAATCTAGAATGTCACTAAATACAAAGTGCTCAACTTTCGGGGAACTGGAGATAGAATGAAAAAGAGTAATGGTATGGGCTCAAAATAAATCATTCGCATTAAATATAAAGTCCAGAAATAAACCCAAGAACAAAGAAAAATTAAGTACATTATAAAGATGACATTTCAAATCCAGAAAGAAAGGTTGGATTGTTAAGTAAATTATATTGGAATAATATAATTATTATTATATTACTAGCTGTGGGGGGGGGTGGTGGATATTATATCTATGTCTCATAACTTTCATCAAAATAAATTGTAGGTGCAGTAAAGATTTAAATGCTAAAGTACATAAATAAGCATATAAAAGGACAATCAGGCAATATTGATGAATATTTATGCAATTTTCTTGGGGGGGGGGATCCTTTCTAAGCATGACACTAAAGGAAGAAACCACCAAGGAAAAGATGGATGGATTTGAGCAATTAAAAATCCAAAACTCCTATACAATAAAAAATAAACCAGATTAAAAGAAAACAAAATTTGAAATATATGCACAAAAAGTGTAGAGCTGTAATATATATCACGAGTTTAAATTCCACTACTTTGAGAGGTTTCCATGTTCTCTAACCCCTTGCCCAGCCAAATGTTCTCATTTCATTTTTTCACTTCTTACTGCACTTTTTTCAGTATTGCTTATTCAATTGTCTATTCACTAAACTGGAAGTTCAAGAAGGCAGCAACCATGTCTGTTTTGCTTACTGCTATCTTTTCAACACCTAACACAGTGCTACACACACAAAGCAAATACCAAAAACATATTTATTGAATGAATGAATAATGAATTCATGAATAAGTGATATTTTATGACTAAAAGACATATATTAAACTTTCCAGTAGAAAATTGAGCCAAGGACACAAACAGACAATGTACCATGAATTAAAAACACACTAATAATAAATATGAAACTATTTGAATATACTAGTAATCACAAATGCAAATCATTATAACATATTTCTTTTTGTGTATCAGAAAGGTAAATGGTATAAAGAAAGAAGTGTGGAAATGAATATTCTCTTACAGAGTCAATAGAGTGCAAATTGAGTCGACCTTTCTGGAAAATATTTGGCAATATATTTTATGTGTATGCCAAATAATTCCACTTTAGGAAGATTCTTCTTGAAAAGGTCAGAAAAAAATGAACTAAGTTACATTTATTCATTATTCAAAAAAAATATATGCAAGAAAGGATGCTAATAGCAGCAATATTTGGAGGGACAGAAAAATGTAAATAAGTCTACAGGATAGAATTGGTTAAATATGGTATATCCTTTCAATGGAATACTGCACGCCAATTAAGCAAAAGCACCATATGTATATATATATGGAGATGAATAAGCTATATTGTTAAGTGAAGAAAGAAAGTTACAGAAGAAATCCATTTAAAAAATATACATGTACATGTGTGCATTAAAGAGTCTGAAAGGATATTTGCTGAAATGTTAACAGCATTTATCTCTGAGAGGTGAGATTTGGAGCAATTATATTTTCTTTTTGCATATCTGTAATTTCTGAATTTTCCACAATGAGCATGTAGTATCTGTATAATTTTTCAGGGAATAAACAGCAATGTTCACAATATATATTAATAAATACACATGTTATAAAACAGTATGGATAGTATGATACAATATTTGTAAAAAAGAAAATTATATATAAATCTATGTATGTATATATATGCATTAGAAAACTAGAAGGACATACATTAAATATTAATAGTAGTTATTTATGGGTAGTGGGATTAAGGGTGGTTATTTTTTCTTTTTGCTTTTCTGTGTTTTCTAATTTTTCTACAATGACTATGTATTACTTGTGTAATAAAAACTATTAATAAAAGTTAAAAAAAGAATTAAAAATGTGAAAGTGACATTGTTACTCACCACGTGACCTCCTGGGGAGGGGAGGGGAGGGAGGGGAGGGGAGGGGAGAGAAAAAGGAGAGAATAAAGGGGCAAGGAGGAGAGGGACAAGGAGGTAAGGAAAGGAGGGGGGAAAGGAGAGAGAAAATAGTAGAGAAAAGGAAAGAGGTCAAAGTAAGTCAGTGGAGGAAAGATTAAAACAGACTTTGGAAACTATTTTACTCACAATAGCACTATATCTAAATTTAGTTCAGTTTTTCTGATAGTTACAACAGCAACAAAATACATTGAGTTAAATAATTTCATTTTCTAATAAAAGAAAATGATATGCATGTGTGGAGAGACACCTCGGAATGAACTCTGACAGGAATGTCTCCCAAAGGCAAACTTTGAGGTCCAGCTGGTTGCCAAGGGCTGTGGGGTACAGCCTGGAGTTACACAGACTTTTGTCTGAACCTCGAATATTCTGCAACTAAGTACACAACTATGGCTAACAGGTCCCATATCCATTCTCTTCTATTTTTCTTCAGTAACAAAGACTCCGAATTTCAGCAAGACACTGGCCACCGTATTCAGTAAAGACTCTATTTCTCAGACTCCCTTGGTTGTGGGTGTGGCTATACTGTAGATCTGCTTTTGGGCCAATGGGCCCTGATGGAACTTCCAGGCAACATCGCTGGAATAGGGGCATTTCCGTGCTCTTCCTCTGCGCCCCAGAGGTGCACGCACAGCACAGGGTGGGGCTGGACAGCCGTCTCAGAGTCCGAAAGGACACTGCGTGAAGATGACAGAAGTGCCCAGCAGACCTGGACCACCTGTCTTTCTCCTGCTATCTGCTAAATGA